AAAAAAAAAAAAAAAACTCAGACTCTCTCATTCAAAGCTGAACTCTTCTGCTTAGTGCCCAGCAAGATATGTTGCCTCATGACCCACTGGCAGGACTAGATTTTGTAGCTTCCTTTTGGTCCCGAGATTTGCCAATCCACTCACTAATTCAGCCTAGAGCCATTTCCTGGAGTCATGAAAAATATTTCGGTTCACCGCCTGTAGCTCAAGCAGCTAGGGCACCAGCCAGATACACCAGAGTTGGCAGGTTCAAACTCAACTCAGGCCTACAAACAACAATGACAACTACAACCAAAAAATAGCCAGGCATTGTGGCAGGCGCTTGTGATTCCAGCTACTTGGGAGACTGAGACAAGAGAATTGCTTAAGCCCAAGAGTTGGAGATCACTGTGAGCTGTGATGCCACGGCACTCTACCCAGGGTGACAGCTTGAGACGCTGTCTCCAAAAAAAAAAAAGGTTAAGAAGTGGGAGATACCAGTTTGCCTACTGTTGGCTATGTGAACTTAGTCACTCTGCACAAGTGAAGATGCTAAAACACTCCCCTTATGGGTGAACAGGGGCTTATAGAGGGTCATGCAGGTCATGAGCCCTGTGGCAGGGTCAGTACCAGGTCCTCAGAGACCTCTTCCACAGAAAAGGCGACCTCAGGAGATCAAAGTGTGAGGGATACCACAGTGGTCTGTGGGATGAGAGGAAGCATCAGGCCTAGCCTGGGGACATCATAGAAAGGGGAATATCAGACATTCCCCAGAGGACAGAGTAAGCATCCAGTACCGGGACCCTGAGACTTCTCTCCTTGATGCTACAGTTGTTGCCAGGCTACTCCATTTATCCACCTAGAAGCCCACTAATGACTCCTGAGTGCCCCTCAGGACCAGGCTCTGGGCTGGACCATCCTGGGGACACAAGGAGGTCATCACAGCTGCTGGGCCTAATCGGGGATCCTTCACACCCTCCCGGATCCCCTACACCTCACAGCTCCTCAGCCACCAACACCCATTTCCTGAGCAACTTCTGGAACCAAGACCAGACTCTGTTCTCCCAAGCTCAGGACAACCGGGTGATTGAAAGGAGGTCTTACGAATAACTGTCCTACTCAGGTAAGTAAACCAACAAAAAAAGAGAAAACAACTCATAGCACAAAATTGCCCCTATAAGAGAAAACTCGCCACATCACTTCCCCCTTTGTTTAATTAAAACCCTGTGTCTTGGCTTGTCACCTCTAAGACTTCTTTCTCAACAAGAGCCCTAAACCGACAGCAAGCTGTGCGTTCTGCTCCAACCCTCTGCTTCAGTTCGTACCAAAACCCTATTCCAAGGATTCAGATAGGCTTGAGAAAGCACCTGCAACTGCGTTGCTTCCACCTCTGTTACTTTCTTCACCAGATGTGCACCTTTTGTCTGCTGAAGCAGAGGGGGAAAGCCATTTTTACCCCTTAAAACACCAGCCTCCTTTCCGGGGCCACTTCCTCTCCCTCCCTTCCTCCCTCTCTTTGTGGGGGAAAAGAAACTTTAAACTTCTTTCTAACCCAATTACTGCGTGAGAACTCTTTATCCAGCGCCGTGAGCACCCCACGGGGGTCACCGCGATCTGTTGCAGCCCGGGCACTTGCTCCCTTCCCCGAACCTGGTCAGACAACCTGAATCCCCGCCCTCTCACCCTTGGACTCGCCCAGAGCCCGGAGCCGCTGCCAGTCGGGACAGGAGGCCGGGTTTCCGGGTCGTGGGCACAGCGTGCGGACACGCCCCGCCCTAAAGGCCACGCGCAGCCGCAAATGCCTGGACTGGGCACCAGTGAGTTCGGGTCCCCCACACTGATCCCGGGAAGCACAGCCTTTGTCAACAAGACAATCCTGTGGACCACCCGGACTCCAGAGGACCACTGCCCACCGCCAGACGCCAGGAGCCCCAGCTAAACACTCACAGGCGCCGCGTGGAGAAATGAACACCGCGAGTCTGCGCCTGCGCGCTGGCGGCTTTTTGCACACAGATGGGAGACTCAACGCCGCCAATCCCCGCGGAGTGGGCGGACCTTCGCTGAAGACAGAAAGACCGGCCCTGACCCGCCCCACTCAGAATTCGGTGGCGCTTCTGACTGATCGGCGAGGCTTCGCCTCTTTAGTGCCTCCTGACGGTCGGTTGGCAAGACAGCTCGGTCCAAACGCTGACTGGCAGCTCGTGTGTACCGATAGGGCGCTGCAGACTGGCAGCTCGGCCTCCACTACGTCTTAGGGCCCGAGAGGCTCCGAGTGGGCAGCGCAGGGAGAGACCGGACAGACTGACAGGAGTTCGCGGGCCTTTGCTGTGAGGTGTGAATCTCTTACGAACTCCCAACCCAGCCCTTCAAATTCCAGCCTGAGAGACCCCAGATCCCTGCAACCTGCTGAGAAGACCCAGTCCCCTCAGCCTGAGAGACCCCACATCTCTCTCTCCAGCCTGAGGGACCCCAGATCCCTGCAACCTGCTGAGAAGACCCAGTCCCCTCAGCCTGAGAGACCCCACATCTCTTCAGCCTGAGATATACGTGCCCCTCACAGGTCCCGGCTGCTTTACTCCCAGGGTTTCCCAGAATCTCCAGTAAGAGAGCCCCAGATCCCTTCTAAGAGAAAGGTTCGTTTTCTCTCCCTGCCCGTCAGTCTGACCCGAGTCCCGGCAGTCAGGGGCCTCAAGTTCTCTTTGGGACTCTTCTGGCCCTCATGCCTCAGGGCTTCCCTCAAACACCCTTCGGCACAACCCTCTGGACTCCTTTGCCCCCTTTCCTCAGATGAGCCAAGCTGCAAGGGAACTAAAGAATCAAAACCCAGCTGACTTTAGGTGATCTGTCAGAACTGGTAGAGAGCACCCCATCCCATGGATATGCCCCCAGACCTCTCTGTCATCCATGCTGCCCAAATCTTCCTGTAGTAGACAGTCCCGCCCAAGAGAGACAACAGACCCTGGCTCTTGGCAATGATCTGGGCTGGCACCCTCTCTCAGTACCTTCTTCCACAGGAGCCTTGGCCTAGGAGCTGGGAGACTCAAAGGCCCTTCCCAAGTTCAGAGTTGGAGTGGGACCTGCTAGGAAGTTCAGCACCATGAGCCTCAACAGGTCCCAGGAGGATAGCCCAGAGATAGATAAGGGACAAGAGGGTAAAAGCCCACAGTGAGAAGAGGGGTGAGGCAGGGATGAAACCAGGCTCCAAGCAGTGTCTGTAGGAAAGGTGGGGAGGGGGGCATAATGACAATGTTCTGGTCTCCGGAAGTCTGCAAGATTCCTGGCCTGCACCCCTGGGTGACCCTGTTCAGATGTACATTGAATGGGGGCAGTTGGTCCTGTCTGGGATGTGGGAAGGGAAAGGAGACAAGTATCAACAACTGCACTCTGTCATAGGAGAACAAGGAAAATGCTTAGTGTTTGCTCAGTTAAACAAAACAGAATCTGGGGAGAGAGGGAGTCTTTACCCTTGTTTCACAGAGATTACAGGCAAGGTAGAGGAAAAGGCCCAGTTTGATGTGTACTGATGGAATTTGTTACTTTTTCTAGCTCAAAGATGCTTTCAAAGACATTTCCATATACTTCTCCAAGGAAGAATGGGCAGAGATGGGAGACTGGGAGAAAATGCATTATAGGAACGTGAAAAGGAACTATAATGTGCTGATTGACATAGGTAACAGGAAGTGCTTGCAGACCAACCTGGGAAACACAAATCACATTTTCAGTCCCTATATTATTTTGATTTTCTCTTAGGTGGCAGCATCTGCCCACAGTTCCCTTCTATAAAGACACAAATCTAAAGGGAAATTTTGTTCTTTTGTGTCAATACAACACTGAGTGCCAATATTGGGCATGCAGAGGTCACATCATGACCTTGTTTGAGATTCACCCAGCTCAACAGGGAAAGCCACACTGACTTTGTGGTACTTTCCATTGCTACAGCTCTTTGCTCCTCCTCCCATGTTTTTCCTTTCAGGACAAAGATTTTGCTTCTTTTCAGGTCTCAGAACCCCTCGACCGGCTTTCATGTATCACTGAAGACAGGCCATCAAATACCAGGTGGATGATGCTGAAGATTTGGAGGAAAAAATGGACACCTAGGCAACCATGAGGGACCAGAGGATTTAGAGGTAATCTCCTGAAACCAGCCTGCATTTAGGTCTCAACTGCATCTTAGGAGTTAACAAATGAAACAGTATTCCCTCAAAACAGAAATATTCAACAAACAAGCAAGCTAGCAAATAATACATACAGTAAGAGGCTATTCATATAAAGTTTTAC